TGTTCTGCTACAGAGGTCAAAATTGTGGTGTGGCTAAATCTCAGGATAATTAAGGACCGCTTTATACCCTGGAAACTGCTTACTAATAATCCTTTGCATTTGACACAATGCTTTATCTCGTTGCTGAGACATCTCAAAGCACTTAAAAGGACTTTACAATAAATGTCCCACAAACAGCCATGAAGTGAGTGATGAATTTTACCTGGGGGGTTGTCAGAGCCAGGACCCCGGGGAGAGAGAGAGAGAGAGAGAGAGCGAAACTCCCTTTTTTCCAGTGGTGTCACAGGATCTTTAACATTCACCTGAGCAGGCAGTCGGGACCTTGAATGCCTGGATTAGGACTGAACACCTGTCCTCTTTGCTTCCTCTCTCACACCACGAAACTTCAAGAAAATTTCCCCATCCGGGCGTTTGAGAGCGATGATGGCTGTCACCTCTCCAAGGTTGGGAAACGTTTAATCAGGCTGCAGAGAGAATACACTTCACGTTGCTTTGTCAGTTAAAGACCAATGAGTGTGTTGGCTTTCGAAGCCCTTCTACTACTAGGCTGGAGTCAAAATCTCGGTCCTTTTTACAAAAAGATGGCAAGCAAATTGACAGAGAAACCATTCGATCGTGGGGAGGGGGAGTGGGTGGTGTTCGGGCAAAGTGCCATTTCCAGTCGAAAATAGTTATTTTTCGCAGGGATAATCGACAAACTATTTTGACACCATTTTTTTCTCCTCTTTGTCTCTCACCACAATCCTTTCCGCACACAAGGTTTCTACAGTCGGATTTGCCATAAAAGTTTCACGTTATTGGCTGTTTGCTGTGCTGTCAGTTGATTGACTTGTGTCTGTGTTGGGCAAACAGGAACTGTGTGTTTTATACAGCGCTGGCCCACGTAAGAGAACCTGACAAAGCAGGTGGCAAAGGGCACTAAGCGAGTCGTCCTCCCAACGTGAAAGGCGCTAGATAAATGGTATTTGTTGTTATTGTTGAAGTGGAAGGAATATAGAAGTGACTGACGTCGCAGGTGAAGGTAGATGGGAATTGTTTGCTGCGGGGGCTGTCGTGAAGTCAGCAAAGGAGGACTGGATGAATGGCTGATAGTGGCTGAAAGCTTGATCTCTGATGGTGGAGCAGGTGATGAGCAGTAAACTGGAGCGGGTACATGTGGCGACTGAGACGCTGTGGGAAGTGCTGACGTAACACACAGTTGAATGCCTTTTCTTTTGCTCTGTGAAGTTGACGAGGAAAATCTGCCCAGTGCCGACCCCTTGTGGAGACCTTGCCTCAGGTCACCGTGTGTGGTTTTATCCTTGAAACACGGTGTCAGTTCCTAACTCCCCTCCGTGCAGAAACCTTTCTTCACACCTTAAGCCTCTTGTGATTATCCTGTCATTTTATATTCCCTTAACCTTCAGAACACCTCCAAAGCGAAGGTGATTGCTGGCGAGTGGAGTGATTGTTTTATTGGCAGCCAGTTCGTTCTCGGCAACTTCCCACAAACAACCTAGGAAGTGAATACCCAATTTATCTGGAGGATAATTGGCCAGGACACAGGAAAAACTCCCTTCTCATTTTCCAATAGCGTCATGGGATCTTTTAACGTCCACCTGAACAGGCACAGGTGTGACCTTGGTTTAAATTCTCATCTCAAGGTTAGGATCTTTGACAGTCAAAATAATAATAGTCTTTGCATTTGATATAGTGCCTTACCATGCCGTTTCACATGCTATGTATTGTAAAATGAAGCGACTGTATTTTGTGGGTGAAACACAGCAGCTAATTACACACAACAGTGTCCCATAAACACTTGTGGTTTGAGTGACCACATTTTTGGGGGAGTGGAGGGATTATTATCCCTGGAAAGTGACCGCCAATCGATTAACAACCTGGTTCCTACTTACTGGTGCTCGGTAAACAGAGGCGTGTGGAGTAAGGAAACTTGCCTAAGGTTTCGCCCCACCCAGGAATTAAACCCGTCCTCTCGCTTGTGATGCAAACGCACTAACCACTACACCACGGGACTCCCCAATGTGGTGCTTTCCTCTAAATTCAGAGCTGGAATTGGATTTCAGATCATTCCCCATGTTTGGTTTTTATAACCCTATGGTGTGTGTGGCTTGTTCAGTCTTACGGAGATATTGGCTGCGGAGATTCGAGATTCTTTATGTTGCTAAATAGGAAAATCATCATCAGTTCCTCAGCATTAACTTTCCCTTGAGGGGAAACTCAGAGAAAGTGTGTAGTAGAGGTAACGTGGCAGCCAATTTGCACGCATCAATGCCCCACAATCAGCTGTGAAATGAATGACTAATTTTATCTGGTTTGTTGTTGGCCAGATTAACAACATAGAATGTCACAAAACAGAAAAAGGCCATTCAGCCCATCATCTCTGTGTTGGCTTTCTGATGGAGCTATCTGCTTAGGCTCACTCCCCTGCACTTCAATCCTTCCCACACACACCACAAAACACACACCTTTTTATGGTTTTATTTTAAATATTTGCCACATTCGCTTGTGAAAGCGCTTATGAATTCTCGCTCATCCATTGTTTTTGCCACTGTCAAATATTAGTTGAAATAAATAACTTCTGCATCTGATATGGTGCCGTATTGTGTCATAGAATCATAGAATTATACAGCACAGAAGGAGGCCATTCGGTCGATCGTGTCTGTGCCGGCTCTTTGAAAAGGGCTTCCAAATCAATCCCCTTCCCCCGCTCTCTCCCCATAGCCCTGCAAACATCTCCTCGTGTCCTAGAAAGCTCTCAGAGGGCTGGACAGGCTTCAGTGTAAAGTGTAGTGACTGTATTTGTGGGCGAGAAACATCCAGAAAGCACTTTATCAGTATGTTACTGGTTTAGATGAATTTGGGAGGGAGAGGAGGGGCACATTCACCAGGAGAGAGCACCTCTTTACTGTGAAATAGCGGGAAGAGGGATAGTGACCACCTTCTCACCCTGGGATGATCTGTGAATAGATAGAGAAGATTGCATTTGATAGACCTTTATGTTGGCCAGTGCCTGAGGTAGATCATTGCAAGTTGTGCGTTTTAAGGTTTGTATTGGAACCTGTAGTGAGCGAGCTGTAGCAAGCAGTGTCTTCATGGTGGGTGGAAGGGAAACAGTGAGTTTATTCTTGCTCTGATAGCATAGCGTTGTGTGTTTTGATGTTGGGCGACTAGTTTGGGAATATTCTCCCCATTCACTGAAGTTCAAGATGTAATAATATAATCCTTGCATTTGATATAACGCATTATCACGTCTACGAGACCACTCACAGCCCTTCACAGAATAGACTGTAAAATTGTGGGCGAAATATGTGTGATGTGGTGCCATATCACGGCCTAGAATCATCTCAAAACGCTTGACGGATTTACTGTAAAGCATAGTGACTGTATTTGTAGGCGAATGAGGGATTCACTGAACTCACTCAGAAGGGACGTTCTAGATCTTATCCGAGACCCTGCCTTCCTTTATGTTGCCGCTGTTCTCCCTTCTCTCCCCTCCGCCCACTTGTCCAGAAGGAAGTATTTGTAAAACCCGATGCAGCACTGCCCACACTGGACTGTGAACTGATAGACTCCAACCCTTTTGAGGCCTGAAATCCGCCGGGGACACTGTTAGATAGAGCAGACTTGTGGAAAAATCTTGAATCCCAGCCTCCAACTTGGGTCGAAAACCTTGACTGTCCAGCGATTTGAGACGTCCTCCCGATGTGAAAATGTAATCTGTTATTGTTGAATCCAGCCTTTAGACTTGAAGCAATTTTTCCACTTTTTTTAAGGAAGCGGCTGCATATTAAGGACTGGATTGAAGAATTTTCATTGGTTACATTTTTCAATCTTTGCTCAGTTTTCTTTATTTTTATGTAGACGCAGGTCTCGCAGGCTGAGACCGGGTGGAATTTCAGGGCCTATTGCAGGGCCTTTTCAGAAAATCCTAGAGAGTGAACTGGCTTGGAAATTGATGTACATTTCCCCCTTCCCTCTCTTTCTCTCCTCCCCTTTCCAAAAACAACTCTTATTTTCACTTCAAAACTTGGTGAGCACTGGGCTTCATGATTCTGTAGTCTTCCTCTTCGTGTGTAAATTCTGGGCTCTGTCCAGTCTCCATTTTATAATAATTCTTGCATTTGATATTAGAACATAAGAATTTGCTGGTGATGGACAAAGGTCCACCCAGTTCGCCTTCCACTATCCTGGCAGTCATGTCCCAGACTATATACTGTATCCCCAGATATTATTTCCTAAAAGAATCCTAATTTGCTTTTGAAAGAATCAACACTTTCAGCTTTCACCGTCTTCCTAGGGAATGTCCCCCCAGGGGAGAGAGATTCCATTCCAACAATCTCTCTCTGGGATTTCCATGTGTACGTGGGATGCATGGAATTCTCAGTTTGGTTTGGATGCTCTTAAGCACGGTGATGGGTTTCCACGTGTGTCAGATACCCGGCTGACGCCCCAAAAAATCTCAATAGATTATTTCCTAACTGGAATCTTATCTAATTTGCTTTAGAAAGAATCAACACCTTCTGCTTCCACCATCTCCCTAGGGAGCCTGTTTCACACATCTACTACTCGCTCACTGAATTAGTGTTTCCGCAGATTTGTTCAGAATTTAACCCCCCCTTCAATCAAAGGCCGTGTCCTCTGGTTCTAGGGCCTAATCACACTGTTGAGGCATCTCAAAGCGCTTCACAGAATATTGTGGAACATTACAGCCAGCCAAGTAATAATAATAATAATCCTTGTATTTGATATAGCTCCTTATCACGTCATCGAGAAGTCTCAAAGCACTTTACAGAATATTGTGGGGCTTTACAGCCAGCCAAGGAGTGAAGAAAAGCCACCCTTACCTACCTATCACCCCCCTCCACGCCAGTCACGAAGCTGTGTAGGGGTGAATGCACTGTTGAGATGCTGATCGTAGTTGCCTGCTCCCTCTCTCTGTCTCCCTGTCTGTCTCTCCCTGTTGCACGTGTTTACCGGCCTCCTTTGCATTGTGTTCTCAGATGGGCCTCCAGTGGTTCCGCACTATTATATATCTGACACTAACTCGGAGCCCGAGGTACTGAATGTGGACAATCTTCTTGCAGCTGCTGGCGTCCAGGAAGCCTTCTCCTACGGGCATCAGGAGTTCACGGTGAACACCGTGCAGAACCGAGGTCTGGTGGTGGAGAAATGTGCCCCCGAAGGTCAGTCTGCCGGCTCGAGTCTCAGACATTGTGATCTTTAGGAAAGGTACAGGGTGTCTACAAAGTCCTGTTACCCACATCCGTCGCATCAAACATGGCCACGGAGTATCTGAGATAAAAATGATGGCACTCACTCACACACTTACACCGATCCTCTGGACATCTAAATACAGTTAAACACTTGTACTGAATACAATTACGTACTTCGAAATACAATTCTGATCATGTTTCAGTTGTTGGTCAGTGCGCTGTAGGAAACATGGTTAACAGGACTTTGTGTGCATCCTGTTATTGTAACATTGTCTGTGACGCCGTCCGGCGTGGAGGGCGCTATATAAATCCAAGTTGTTGTTGATGATTCACACTCGCATTGTGCTGTAACACTGTGGCTCACACTCACATTCACCTTGTGCTGTTACATTGTCTGTGGTTCATACTCATATTATGGTATTATACTGAGTCCTGGAACGCATTATTGCAGCTTAACTTCGGTCACACCTCTCCCTACGCGAGCCCCTGCAGTCTGGTCACCAGAAACAGCGCTTGTCAAAGTCACAAACAGTGTCTATTTGTGACTAGGGTTCCCGCTGCCTCCTTGTCCTGGATCTCTCTGCCATCCTCCTCCACTGTCTCTCCTTCAGCCACCTTAGTGAGACCACACTCGCATGGTTCAAGTCCTACTTAACCAACCACTTCCATTTCATCTCGGCAAATGATTTCTCCTCCCAACCCGCCCAGTCACATGCGGAGTACCCCAGGGCTCCATCCTTGGCCCTCTTCTTTTCCTCATCTATAATAATAATAATCCTTGCATTTGATATAATGCTTTTTACGTCTTCTCGACGTCTCAAAACGCTTCACAGAATATGCTGGAAAGTGAATTGACGTTATATCTGCGGGCGAAACGCGATAGCCAATTGCGCACAGCAGTGTCCCACAATCCCAGTCGTGGATTGAAAATGACCAATTTATTTTTGTTTTGGAGGGATTATTAATAGGCGTGTGGAGTAAGGAAACTTGCCCAAGGTTTTGCCCTGCCTGGAATTGAACCCAGGTGTCTCACTTGCAAAGCGAGTGCTCTAACTACTGAGCTACAGGACTCCATCTATATGCTCCCTCTGGGCAATGTCATCCGCCGACATGGGGGAAAAACTTCCACATGTCGGCGGATGACATGCAAATTTACTTTGCCTCCTCCAGTACCAACTCCAGGTCTGTCGCTGGTCTATCTAGTGGAGTCCTGCAGCTCAGTGGTTAGAGCACTCGCTTTGCAAGTGAGAGACCTGAGTTAAATTCCAGGCACAGGGCGAAACCTTGGGCAAGTTTCCTTACTCCACACAGAGCCTAATAATAATCCCTCCAAAACCAAAAACAATAATAAATTGGTCATTTTCAATCTACGACTGTTTGTGGGACATTGCTGTGCGCAATTGGCTGCCGCGTTCGCCCACAGATATACAGTCAATTCACTTTACAGTGTGTTCTGTGAAGCGCTTTGGGACGTCCTCCCGACGTGAAAAGCGCTATATCAAATGCAAGGATTATTATTATTATTATCAGCTTGTCTGGCAGACATCAGGGCTTGAATGAGTGTAAACTTCCTGCAGCTGAATATGAACAGGACGGAAGCTGTACTCCTTGGCTCCCGTCAATGCCTTCACTCCTGCGGATCTAAACACCTCAACCTCCCTGCGCTCTCCCTTAAAACCACCGAACGGGTGCAGAACATGGGGGAAGAGGAACATCCAGAAGTCGTGGTCCATGTTGAGATCCATGACGTAGGCAAAAAAAAGGCTGATATCCTTCAGGGAAAGTATCAGAAACTAGGGAAAAAGCTAACGAGTATAACCTCGAAGGTGGTGATCTCTGGATTACTCCCTCGTGCAAGTGAGTATCAAAACAGCATGAATGCATGGCTGGAGAAATAGTGCAGAAAGGAGGGCTTCAGGTTCCTTGATAATTGGAACCAGTTCAGGGTGAGGTGGGACCTGCACAAGGTGGATGGGTTACACCTGAATAGGGCTGGGACCAATGTCCTCACAGGGAGGTTAACTAGTGCTGTGGGGAAAGGTTTAAACTAATTTTGAGAGGGAAGGGAATTAGGGTGCAGCATTGGAGAGGACAAACAAGTTACGGAGAGGGCTGGGCGAGACCAATAGCAATGTAATAAGGAGTCATCCAGAAGAAAGGGGAAGAAATGTGCTTAAATGCAATAAGATTGGTGATCTGCGGCTCAAGTTGCCACACAGGTTATGATGTAGTGGCAATAACGGAGACCTGGCTCAAACAAGGGCAGGAATAGGAGCTGAATATTCCTGACTACAATGTATTCAGGAGGGATGGGGAAGAAAAAAAAAGGAGTGAGTGGGGGGGTCGGCAATATTGATTAAAGACACGGTTACGTCCCTGGAAAGGGACAATGTTCTAGAGGGTCCAAAAACAGAATCTATTTGGTTAGAATTAAGGAGTTGAAAAAGAGCGGTTACTCTGTTAGGTGTATACTATAGACCACCAAATAGTGGGAAGGAGATGGTGGGTAAATCTGCAAGCAGATTTCAGACAGATGCAAAACCAATAGAGTAGTGATAGAGTAATAATAATAATAATCCTTGCATTTGATATAGCGCTTTTCACGTCGGAAGGACGTCCCAAAGCACTTCACAGAACGCACTGTAAAGTGAATTGACTGTATATTTGTGGGCGAACGCGGCAGCCAATTGCGCACAGCAATGTCCCACAAACAGTCGTAGATTGAAAATGACCAATTTAATTATTGTTTTTAGTTTTGGAGGGATTATTATTAGGCTCTGTGTGGAGTAAGGAAACTTGCCCAAGGTTTCGCCCTGCCTGGAATTGAACTTGGTCTCTCACTTGCAAAGCGAGTGCTCTAACCACTGAGCTACAGGACTCCACTCCTTCCCAACTCCTCCCTCCACAGGCTGCAAATAATCCAGAACTCTGCAGCCCATGTCCTCTCCCGCACCAAACTCCGTGACCCCATCTCCCCCACTCTCGCCCGACTCCAATGGCACCCTATCCTTCAGAGGATCCAGTTCAAGATCCTGGTCCTTACCTACAAAGCCCTCAATGGCCTTGCCCCACCCTACCTCTGTGAGCTCCTAACCCCCTACCGACCCTCCGCTCAGCCGGCTCCGGCCTGCTCCATGTCCCCCGACCCACCCGCCCCACCATTGGCGGGAGAGCCTTCAGCCACTCTGCCCCCAACCTCTGACCCCCAATCACTCTGCCTCGCCCCCTCCTTAGCCTCCTTCAAGTCCCGCCTCAAGACCCTCCTCTTCGACCATGCCATCAGCCACTTCCCCTCCCCTTCCTTCGCCCCCCTGACCCCAGCTCAGGTCTGAAATGCTGTACTCTGTCCATTGCCTTGGGACGTCCTCCCGACGTGAAAGGCGCTATACAAATGTAATCCTGTTGTTGATAAGGGGGGACTTCAATTATTCTAACATAGTCTGGCAAAATAACAGTGTAAAGGGACAGGAGGGGGGAGGATTCCTGAAATGTGTGCATTTCTGGGTCAGTATGTTTCCAGCCCAACGAGGAATGAAGTAGTGCGGGATCTAGTTCTGGGGAATGAAGTGGGGCAAGTGGAGCAGGTTTCAGTAGGAGAGTATCTGGACAACAGTGATCACAACATCATTAGGTTTAGAGTACTTATGGAAAGGGACAAGCAATAATTAAAGAAAGATGAAGATACTCAACTGGAAGAGGGCTAATTTCAGTGACTTAAAAAAGGGACCTGACCAAGGTGGACTGGAAAGAAAGATTGGCAGTTATAAAGCTAACGAGCAATGGGAAGCCTTCAAGGAGGAGATAGTTTGGGGACAGAACAAATATATTCCCACGAAGGGGAAAATAGGGCATCCAAACCTCCCTGGATGAATAAGGAAATCGGGTTTAAAATAAAACAGAAAAAGGAGGCTTATGATAAATGCCAGGTCCAAAATACAGAAGATAATCAAATAGAATATAGAAAGTACAGAGGAGAACTGAAAAGTGAGAAAAAAAAATGAGAAGTGATACATTTTGGGAGGAAGAATGAGGAGAGGCAATATAAGCTGATGGTACAATCTTGAAGGGGATGAAGGAACAGAGAGACCCGGGGGTCATATAGTAAATCTTTGAAGGTGGCCGGACAGGTAGATACAGCTGTTAAAGAGCATGCAAGATATTAGTGCTTTATAAACAGGGGCATAGAATACAAAAGTCAGGAAGTTATGATGAACCTTTATATAAAACACTGGTTAGGCCTCAGCGAGAGACTGGGTTCAGTTCTGGGCCCCACACTTTAGGAACGATGTCAAGGCATTGGACAGTGTGCAAAGGATTGTACCAGGAATGAGGGACTTCAGTGATCAGGAGAGGCTGGAGACACTGGGATTATTCTCCTTGGAGCAGAGAAGGTTAAGAGGAGACTTAATAGAAGTTTTCAATATTATGAGGGGATTCGATAGGGTGAACAGGAGAGACTATTCCCACTGGCGGGTGGGTTGGTAACCCAAGGGCACCGATTTAAAATAGTTATTAAAAGAAACAGGTGAGGTGAGAAGTGTTTTCACACAGCAAGTTGTTGGGATCTGGAATGCATTGCCTGAAAGGCTGAGGGAAGCCGATTCCATAACAGCTTTTAAGAGTGAATCACAGAATCATAGAATTGTACAGCTCAAAAAGAGGCCATTCGGCCCATCGAGTCTGTGCGGCTCTTTGAATAGAGCAATTAATGTCAATCCCACTCCTCAGCCCTTTCCGCATAACCTGCAATCCCGTACTCCTCAAATACCCGTCCACCGCGTTTTTAAAAGTAGTTATCGAATCGGCCTCGACCGCCCTTTCAGGCAATGTTCCAGATTCGAACAACTCTCTGCGTGAAAAAATTTCTTCTCACCTCCCCTCGGCTTCTTTTAGAGACTATTTTGAATCTGACCTCGAGTCACCGACACACCCACCAGTGGAAACAGTTTTTCCCTTTCTAACCCATCAAATCCCCTCATGATTTTGAAGACCTCTATTAGGTCCTCGTAACCTTCTCTACTCCAATGAGGATAATCCCGGTCTCTCTCGCCTTTCCTCATCACGGTCCCTCATTCCTGGTACCATCCTCGTAAATCTCCTCTGTACCCTTTCCAATGCCTTAACATCCTTCCTATAGTGTGGGGCCCAGAACTGGGGCAGTATTCTAACTGAGGCCTAACCAGTGTTTATATGGGTTAATCAGAACCTCCTGACTCTTGTACTCTATGCCCCTATTTATAAAGCCCAGTATCCCATATGCCCTTTTTACAGCCTTATCTCCCTGTCCTGCCACCTTCAAGGATTCATTTACCTGCCCCCCCAGTTTCTCTGTTCTTTTACCCCTTTAAGATTGTATTACCGCCTATATTGCCCCTCATTCTTTCTACCAAAATGCATTACTTCGCATTTCTCCACATTGAAACTCATCTGCCATGTGTCACCCATTTTACCACCTGTCTATGTCTTCCTGCAGTCGGCTCCTATCCTTCTCACTGTTTACCCCCTCCCTAACTTTGTGTCGTCCGCAAACTTGGAAATGGTGCTTACTATACCCAAGTCCAGATCATTTATGTATATTAAGAAGAGCAGTGGTCCTAATACCGATCCCTGGGGACGCCACTGTACACTTACCTTCAGTCAGAAAAGCAGCCGTTCACCACAACTCTCTGCTTTCTGTCTCCCAGTGAGTTCTGGATCCGCTGCCACTGTCCCTTTTATACCATGGGCTTCTATCTTTCTTACAAGTCTTTCATGTGGCACTTTGTCAAATGCCTTTTGAAAGTCCATATAAACTACATCAACTGCACTACCTTTATCCACCCTCTCCGTTACCTCATCGAAAAATTCTATTAGATTTGTTAGACAAGATTTGCCTTTAACAAATCCATGTTGGCTGTCCCTAATTAACCCATATTCTTCTAAGTGAAGATTTATTCTGTCCCGGATTATAGTCTCCAGGAGTTTCCCCACTACTGATGTTAGGCTGACTGGCCTGGAGTTCCCAGGTTTGTCCTCCTGTCCCTTTTTGTACAGTGGAGTCACATTGGCCACTCTCCAGTCCTCGGGCACCACTCCTGTGTCCAACGAAGATTGAAAAATTGTAGTCAAAGCCTCCGCTATTTGTACCCGTACCTCCCATAGTAACCTCGGCTGCATCCCGTCCGGACCGGGCGACTTATCACCTTCAGCCCAGTCAACCTTTTCAGTACTTCCTCTCTGTTTATACTTATCCTATGTATTTCCTCTCCCCTCTCCTCTGATACTGCGGCATTTGGTGCATCCATTTATTTTGTGAAGACAGATGCAAAGTACTCATTCAGCACATCAGCCATTGCCCTCTGCCTCCACAATAAGATTTCCCCCTTGGTCCTTAATTGGCCCCACCCTACCTTTGACGAGCCTTTTTTTCTTGATATGTTTGTAAAATACTTTAGAATTCCCTTTAATAGTACCCGCTAACCTTTTTTTGTATAATCTTTTTGCCCCTCTTATTTCCTTTTTCAAACCGCTTCTGCACTTCCTATATTCGATTTGGAGTAGATAATTTTGTGAAGTAGATAATTATTTGGGGAGGACAAGTTTGCAGGGGCTATGGGGACAGAGCGGGGGGTTGATTTGGAAGCTCTTTTCAAAGAGCCGGCCCTAACACGATGGGCCGAATGGTCTCCTTCTGTGCTGTATAATTCTATGATTCTATGAACCAGTGCGCAATCTAGGCAATTCAACCCCAACTGTCCTTCTTCCCCCACATCCAGTCCCTGACCCCCTTCTTCCACCTCCGCCACATTGCCCACCTCCGACCGTACCTTACCCCAAATGCAGCCGAAACCCTCGTGCATGCGTTTGTCACCTCCCGCCTGGATTACTCCCAACGTACTCCTCGCTGGTCTTCCCACCTCCAGCATTCACAAGATCCAACTCATTCAAAACTCTGCCGCCCCCATACTGACCCCGACCAAACTCCGAACCCACATCTCACCAGCTCTGCCCCAGGCTCCACTGGCTCCCCATCACCGAATGGATCGACTTCAAGATCCTCACTCTCGTGTTCAAATCCATTCACTCTATGGCACCTCCCTCCCTCTCCGACCTCCTCACTCCCCAATCCACCACCCGGCACCTCCGCTCGACTGGCACCAGCTCCTGCTCGTCCCTCGCACCCTCTCCCCCACCATAGAAGGTTGCGCTTTCAGCCACTATGCCCCAAAACGCTTGAACACTCTTCCTCAATCCCTCTGCCTTGCTCCCTCTCCCCTTTTTCAAGTCCCGCCTGAAAACCTTCCTCTTTGACAGGACTTACGGGCCCCCCAGTTCAGAGTTAGGCTCTGTTAAGCGCTCTGAGACACTACCTTACCTGGAGGGCACTATATAAGTGCAAATTGATGTTGGTGATTGTGACTTACACTTGCTTGTGCTGTTACACTGACTAGCATACACTGAATGTGGTCACACTGTCTGTGGCTGATACTGACTGTGGGTTACACTGACTGTGGCTCATACTAACTGGCTCACCCTGACTGCCTCACACTGACAAGCTTATACTGACACCGACTGGCTCACATTGACTGTGGCTCTCGCTGACTGTGGCTCACGCTGACTGGCTGACACTGATTGTGGCTCACACTGACGGTGGCTGACACTGACGGTGGCTCTCGCTGACTGTGGCTCTCGCTAACGGTGGCTCACACTGACCCACACTGATGGTGGCTCACACTGATGGTGGCTCACACTGACTTACACTGACTGGCTCACACCTGCTTGTGCTGTTGGCTCCAGGGCAGCTGGACGAGGACCTGATGGCTGGCGATGGTTTTGCAGATTTCTCCGTCCCAGTGAAGGAGGAAATCCAGATCGCCTCCAGCGACAGCGAGGTCGAGATTGTGGGAGTGCAGGAAGATCCCAGGTACAAGAGAGCACATACACACACACCCTACACCCACATACATACATCCCACGCAAGCATCCCACACACATCCCACACCCACACACACAAAACACACACTACACAAACACACTCCCCCTACACAAACACACTCCCCCTATACACACACATCCCACACATACACTACACAAACACACAACAACAACAACAACAAGATTCCATTTATAAAGCGCCTTTCACGTCAGGAGGATTCCCAAGGCGCTGCACAGTTTGGTCAGGACCCTAGCAGGGGGGAAATGGTCAGGGTGAGGGGAGGGAAGGGAGGGAGCGAGGAGGGGGGAAATGGTCAGGGTGAGGGGAGGGAAGGGAGGGAGCGAGGAGGGGGGAAATGGTCAGGGTGAGGGGAGGGAGCGAGGGAGCGAGGAGGGGGTAGAGAGTCGAGAGGGGAGCTGAAGGCTCGGTCAAAGAGAAAGGTTTTGAGACCGGCCTTGAAGGAGGAGAGGGAGGAGGCGGCGAAGGCACTGGGGGATGGAGTTCCAGAGCCTCGGGGCTGAGAGGCTGAAGGCCCGACCACCGATGGTAGGGCGGTTGGGGCGGGGGATGTGGAGCAGACCAGAGCCAGAGGAACGGAGGGTACGGGCAGGTAGGTAGGGGGACAGTAGGTCAGAGAGGAGGAGGGAGCGAGGCCGTGAATGGCCTTATTGGTGAGGATGAGGATCTTGAAATCAATCCTCTGGGGGATGGGGAGCCACACCCACTAAGCACACACATCGCTGCCACACACCCCCACACACACTACACACACACTACACACACACCAACACACACCCACCCACACACCACACATCACAGCCCTTGTCCCCCACTGCTGCTAAAGCCATAACCAGAGTCCCATAGTGTAATGGTTAGAGCATAAGCAAGAGCACCTGGGTGATTCCCATGTAGGACGAAACATTAGGTAAATTTCCTTGCTCCACGCGCTCCTGTTTACACAGCAGTAAGAAGGAACCTGGTTATTAGTTGATTGGCAAAAAATCATTTTCCGGGGGTAATAATTCCTTAAAAATAATTTGGTCAAAATCATTCAATTCACCACTGTTTGTGGGACACAGCTGTGCACAGTTGTTTTGATCACAAAATACACAGTCACTCCACTTTACAGTATATCCCGTGAAGCGCTTTGAGACGTATCAATGACGTGATAAGGCGCTGTATCAAATGCAGGGATTATTTTTATTATAAATTACTGTGGTTCTAAAATGTTTTTTTTAACGGCTTCTGCAGACGTCCACAGAGCAGACCCGGCGTGATTCAGACCTGTTCCACCTGGAACGCTACCTCCCACCCGTACTGTCTGAGCGCCAGGGAGCAGCCCCCCCCACAGCAACAGATACACTCGTGGGCAGCCGTCACCCAGCCCCCCTGGACCGTGCCCCCCGAGGTGGTGGACCTGACCCGCGACGAAGACGCCAGACGTAGATACCTGCTGTGAGAGCCACACCCCTCTTCCCCGCCCCCAACCCACCTCCGCCCCACCCCACCTTTCCTTNCCCCCCCCCCTTTGCTGTCTTCACTCAGCGAGGCGGGGGGAGAGCGTGTGTGACGAAGCCCCTGGGGGTGCTGCTGTACACAAAGATTGGAAACTTTTTGTTCATTTACTTTTCTCCGAGTGACATTTGTGTCGTTTGCAACCACTGTGTATTACCCCAAAAAGGTATGTTCCACCTGCGGCAGCACCCAGACCCCCTGCAGCACCCAGACCCCCTGCAGCACCCAGACCCCCAGCAGCACCCAGACCCCCAGCAGCACCCAGACCCCCTGCAGCACCCAGACCCCAGCAGCACCCAGACCCCAGCAGCACCCAGACCCCCAGCATCACCAGACCCTGCAGCACCCAGACCCCCTGCAGCACCCAGACCCTCTGCAGCATCCAGACCCCCTGCAGCACCCAGACCCCCTGCAGCACCCAGACCCCCTGCAGCACCCAGACCCCCTGCAGCACCCAGACCCCCTGCAGCACCCAGACCCCCAGCAGCACCCAGACCCCCTTCAGCACCGAGACTCCCTGCAGCACCCAGATGCCCTTCAGCACCCAGATCCCCTTCAGCACCCAGACCCCTGCAGCAGCACAAGACCCCCTGCGGCAGCACCCAAACCCCCTGCGGCAGCAGCCAGACCCCCTGCAGCACCCAGAACCCTGCGGCAGCACCCTGACCCCCTGCGGCAGCACCCAGACCCCTGCGGCAGCATCCAGATCCCCTGCAGCGCCCAGACCCCCTGCAGCACACAGACCCCTGCCTCCCCCCCCCCCACCTGGCCACAGGTTGTGGGGCTTGTTTAGGGGGTCAGGGGGTGAAAGATTCCCCCCCCCCACCCCCATTCTCGAAGTTAATTACGCCGGGTGGGTCTCACACTCAATACCAAGCTACCCATGCACACACAGCGATGTGTGTTGTGCTGTGGAATCCCCGTGGCTTGCTTTCCTATGTATCAGATTGCAGGGCAAGCGGGAGTGGGGAGTGGGGAGTGGGGTGGGGTGGTGGTTGAAAGGCACACAGTTGCCGCTGTTGAGTTTGGAAACTGTGGCCTCTCCTTCAAGACCCAACGTCTCAAAAAGCTTCTGACAAACGGCACGTTCCTAAATCCGGTCGGTCTCTGTTTGGAAGCCATTTTAAGCCGTTTCCACCATCTTAAAGTTCAAGTCTTACGCTTGAGGCCATGAGGAATTTTGATGCAGAGAAATCTGATGTGATCTGATCTCTTGCCCCACCCCCATCGGGCCGAGGACTGGCCGGGTGGGGGGTGGGGGGCTGGACCTCAGCTGTTAAGTGGACACATACCTGGTTGGTGGCTCCTCAGTGGTCTTCCTGCACAGTTCTAAACCTTGTGTCTAGATTTTTGTTTTGACATTTGGTGTTTGTGAAAGTATTTTCTTTACAGCTTACTAGTTTTAAACGTCCTGTGTGTGTGTGCGCACACTCGCACACCAGTACACACCCACACGCGCAAATATACATATGCACGCACTTACATTGTAAACGCATACACACGTGCACACACGCACGCATGCACATGTACCGTATATTATGAACATGCACTCATACGCGTGTGTGTGTATTTTCTCACACATACACACGCGTATAAACGTATATATACGCGCATGTGTGTATGTCTACAAATGTACAAACATGCACTCACATATGCACACACGCACACAGTATTGAGAGGCACAAATCAAATGTCCCGTGTATTTTTGAGTTAGGAAAGGCGTATGGAAAGCAATAGAAACTAGTTTTATTTTAAATACTTTGCCGAGCGAGTCTCCACTGTTTTGACGTACGAAGATTATCAGGCAGGGTTGAATTATTTTTAAAATGGGGCAGTTTTGGGGCTGGGAGCCTATGAGGACCTGCTGTGTTCTCGCTTGTCGCAGTGTGTGATCACTGCCTTCAGGAGGTTTTGGGTTAGTAGGTTCTCGCGTTGAAAAGGAGATGTATTTATAAATGGGGGGAGGGAGGGTGGGTGGGGGTTATGTGTAACATGGACTTGTGTTGCAGCAGATGGTTTATTTGTTATCCTCTTCACTAGCAAATTGAGACTGAGGTCGACGACCGCCAGGGTTGCTATCTCCCCTTCGCGGACACTCACTTCTGTGATTTTTTCCTCTCTCCTCCCCCCCCCCCCCCCCCAACAAGCCCCCTCAACACCCCCCACCTTCCAACTAGAACAGTTTTGTTGGAAGCGATGGACCCTACAACCTGTGAAGAGTGTAAAGGGAACGTGTGTTTTTAACACAGTCGAGAAGCTGAATCTCACAGCAATTACTGGCAAGTGTAGTGACTGATTTTTTTTATTTGGGCGGGTTACCATGTGCCCCTCCCTCCCCTCTCTCACTCTCCCTCCCATTCCCAATTAACCAGTTTTCTTTGTAAAGAATGCAATAATCAAACTTGACTCAGGGAAGGCTTCTATAATGTTGTATTTTCAAAGGGTGGGGGGGGGGGGGTTGTGTGGGAAGTGGGGGGGGGGGGGTGGTGGGGAGAGAGAGTATCAGCAGCCTGGTCAGAGATGCAAACTCAATGGTTTCCCCTCACCCCCACCTACCCCACCGGGATTTGGGGTGGGAAGGGATTGGAGCCAAGTATACAATCAATATTCAAAGGCCCCAACACATCCTTGACAGTCTCTCCCAAACCCCCACACTTTCTCTCTCTCTCTCCCCCCCTCCACTTCCTCTCTCCCCCCCCCCCCCCCCCTCACACACACAATCTCTTTCTCTTCCCCCTCCCCACATTGCTCCTCCATTGGCTGGGCCTATGGGGACCTTCAGGATCAATCCTGTGTTTCCGCCTCTCTCTCTCCAGCGGGTCAGTGCCTCCCAGAGGGTTCGTCCCAGAATCTGTTGGAAGGGTCAGAGGCTACAGCAATACACATTTATCTTTTCACAGCGCTCTTCACGTGGGGAGGACATCCCAAGGCACTGGGGCTGGGTGGGCTGTGACATCGCCCCCAGGGTGGGGTGGAGAGAGGCTGGTGGGGCCCAGGTTAACTGCTCAAACGCAGTCGAGCTAAGTCAGGTATCCAGTGCAATAAACTGTTTCAACAAATTGACTGTCAGACTCTGAGTCCCCATTTTGTACTTGCTCTCACTAGTTTACCACCAACTCAGTCGCTGCCTCTTTACTTGTCCTGGTGTCTCTCTGCGCCTCCACCCGGGGGTTTTGTTGATGTATATTTGATTGTGAAATGGTGACTGGGAATATTAATATTGAGGTGGTTGTGACACGTTATCGTAGTTCCCGCCCGCACACACACACACAAAGTTTCTCATACTAAATGAACAGAAGTTCATTGACAAACACAAGGTCCCCTCTTCTCCCAACTGATCTCAGAGCACTGTGGGAGAGGGGGGGCTTGGTGCATTGGGGTCCAGTTTGCCTTTAGCACCCCCTGGCCGATTGAGAGGGAAACTTCAGCCTGGGCGGTCACGGATCAGCCATTGAGAATGTGGGTGTGTAAATGAGGGGCGTGTTGGTCAGCCAGGTATGTGACACATGCGGAAACCCAACACTAATTCTCCAAACCAGACCGAGTCCAATACACATATATATATGCATGCGCTATGCATGGACAGCTCCCTGTGTCTGGGTTCGAGTCCGCAGTCTCCTTGGGTGAGAGGAGGACTGAAATTAGCTGAGATAGATGTTCCTTCACACGCTTTCTTCTCCCATCCACTGCCCTCCCTCACCATCCCCAAGAGTGTTTTAACAAGGATTGAGATGCGGAATCCTGGCTGATTATTTCCTCTGGAGTCCTGAGGTCCACTCACTGCATACATAAGAACATAAGGATTTGCTAGACAAAAGAAGACCAAGGTCCATCCAGTTCACCCACCACCATCCTGGCAGTCGCTTGCACGTGTTATGCCCCAAACTATATACTGTAATCCTCCAACTGAGATCAGCCAACTCGGGAGAGAGAGGGAGAGACAAGAGAAGGCATTTCAACCTTCCGGAGGTGGGGGGTCTTGAGGGAAGGGGAGAGAAGAGGTCTTAAAAAAAATTGTAGGGGGGGAAGAGAAGAGAAAAAGATTCTTTTGTTAAAATTTATCCACGGAGGCTGAATTCTTTTGGAGAGTTTTTTTTTAAACCAAGGACAAGGCACAGCAGGAACAAAGCACAGGTAACTGTTGAACGTGCTTGTAAGTACTTTTTCTCCTCCAAAGCTTCGTATTATAGGCAAACTGAAATACTGTGAGTTCAGGCGTGTTCAGGGGTAACAAGTCACAGTAATCCTGGGTGTCGGTTTCAAAGACCTGGTGGGATTGCACTGATGATGGAATTTTTTTTAAGAAGAAAAAGTATATATATATATATATATTGTCTGGTTTTTATTTCGTTCTTCCCCTCTTCAGTATTTGGTGTTGACATTTTTTTTTGTGTGGGGGAAAATCCCCTCCTGTAAATATTGTTTCTGCTGCCTCTCTCTGCAGTGGCAGTCTATAGATTTTTAACTGTTATGCAGTGATTACATGAGCTAGAGATATTGAGGAATAAAGGTTTAACTTTTAAACAATGTCGGTGAAGGCTTTGTGTCTGTTTGTGCAAAGTGTGCGCGTGAGTGTGTGTCAGTGTGCGCGTGTTTCTGTCACAGCTGTAACCTCGGATCACGTCGCTCCGTTGAGACCAACAGCATCATTTACACAGCGTCCGTCACATAGGGTAACAGCTCGAGCACTGCACGGGAATGGAAGCCGAGGCAGAGAAGAGGGGGAGGTCAGTCATCGACACTGCCAGAGGAAGCCATTCGTCAAATCGTGTCTGTGCTGGTGCTCTCTTCCCCCACTGGATCTCTCTAATCCCATTCCTGTAGGAGTGTGGAGTCCTGTAGCTCAGCGGTTAGAGCACTCGCTTTGCAAGTGAGAGACCTGAGTTCTCTAATCCAATTCCCTGCTCTCTCTCTCTCCCCCCACTGGAGCTCTCTAATCCCATTCCCTGCTCTCTCCCCCCGCTGGAGCTCTCTAATCCAATTCCCTGCTCTCTCTCTCTCCCCCCACTGGAACTCTCTAATCCCATTCCCTGCTCTCTCCCCCCGCTGGAGCTCTCTAATCCCATTCCCTGCTCTCTCCCCCCGCTGGAGCTCTCTAATCCAATTCCCTGCTCTCTCTCCCCCCACTGGAGCTCTCTAATCGAATTCCCTGCTCTCTCTCCCCCCACTGGAGCTCTCTAATCCCATTCCCTGCTCTCCCCCCACTGGAGCTCTCTAATCGAATTCCCTACTCTCTCTCCCCCCACTGGAGCTCTCTAATCCCATTCCCTGCTCTCCCCCCACTGGAGCTCTCTAATCCAATTCCCTGCTCTCTCTCTCCCCCCACTGGAGCTCTCTAATCCCATTCCCTGCTCTCTCCCCCCACTGGAGCTCTCTAATCCAATTCCCTGCTCTCTCTCTCCCCCCCACTGGAGCTCTCTAATCCCATTCCCTGCTCTCTCCCCATCGTGTCTGTTTGCACCCCAACCCCCAGCTCAGGTGCCCAGTTAACAGAGTAAAGTTCTTTGAGACGTCCCCCTGACGTGAAAGTCGCTGTATAACTATTGAGTAGTACTAATTCTCCCCACTGGAGCTCTCTAATCGCATTCTCCTGCTCTCCCTTTCCTCCTCCCCCAGAGTTTAACGCTGATGGATAGAGGTTGTAGGAACTGAACTCCTGATCAGGG